TGATATTACAATTCAATGTAATCGTACTAAAAGATGAAAGAATTTTAATAAGAATGTGATTCGAAGATTGTGGCATTGATCGCAGCCTTCTAACTTCCGATGTTAAGCATCTCAAAGTAATCGAACCTTGTATTAAAACTCCATTAACCAGCATGAAGTCCATTAAAAATTGTTTTAAGGAATTTTTTTCTTATCGATTTGTTACCCCCTTGAATACGTAATACGCCGGGAATATTACATAACTTTGTTATTAAGTCTTCTAACTTTTTCACTACGAGTAAAATTAACATAAAACTCCCCGGAAAAAATCTACAACTGCGCGAGAAAACGCGCGATTAATGATGCATACTGCGTTCGCAATCGAGCGAGAACGCCAAATATCCTTTTTATAAAGCACGATCGCACGTCCATCGGGTATCAACGCGTTCCTCTCGCGAGTGAGATATACGAGGCACCGTGTAATTTTCACCTGCGCCACTTTTTCGTCACGGTTCGTCGTTTCTCATTTAAGGTAATAAATACGGCAAGTATGCGCGAAGACACACAGGCCGGTGCGACATGTATTTATCGCCGCAAGAATATCGATCGCGCTCTCCGCGGACAGCGTTATCATCGCCGATGTACGCTCGTCGTGATTTTCCCAGGGAGGAACTGCGTTTTCGTTTTAATCGAAATGCGATGCACGCATTCGTGTAATTTCGTAATCACCTCGCGCGCAACGGAGCGGCGGTGGCCCGGAGGGTTGATGCGCGGGGTGGATGGGGAAAACGGCCGGGTTGAATTGAAAAACACGACTACCCGTTTCAATCTGACAGATAAAAAACTGGCGGGCGTGTAAAGTTTCGCTGTCGCGAGAATGATGCGATAAACGATCGCATGCGTTGCCGCACGCCGGGGTTAACACCGGCGTTAACGCGTTTAAACGTTTTTAACGATAATCTGCATAACGCACGACGAACGCGGTAGTACGCGCATCGGACGTGAAAGTTCAAAAGCTCGAAAGGGGGTGGACGTGGTAACACGCGCGCTGTGTAACGCGCCACGTATAATTACCGCGAATTGATTGCCGCGCGGGAATAACCCGGGTCGTTTATAAATTCAATGCGAATATTCATCGCGCGTTTATATCACGAACGGGAGATTGCAGCCGCCAATTAGTCGGATGTACGAACTTCTGTATTAGTTCTTTGTACGACTGCAGAGCAGAATCGCGACTCGCCGCGCCGACCGGTGATTGAAACGCAGCTTTTCGCTCCTACTCCAAGTTGAATTCTCCATATCGCGAAAGAGCAGCTCTTGCTACAATTGTTTGTCCTCCATTGACCATGATTACAAATATGAACGTGATTAAACAGCGTCCGATAAAATAACATTTGTTATAAAATAACACTTCGGTATAAAATAACATTTATTTTATTTTTAAATATACGTGCATAATAAAATACACCCATTTCTAAGTACGTCAGTACTATCGCATTTCATTTCTTTCTTCTTAACAGTTGTGAATTGAATAATATAAATTGCGATTTATTTTAATAAAATGCAATTTATTTAATTTATGATAATAATCATAAAGAACATATACAAAAACGTCGCTTTCTAGCGAAGTCCTTTTACCTTTTGCCGTGCTGGTCCATTATATGTAGATACTCAAGCCACTTTACGCCTTTAGAAAAAGATGTCATTATCTAAGTCGCTTCAAATTGTTGAAATTTTCTAGAAATTAGGCTTTGAAAAATATTACAATATAATATATTTTACTTTACTTGTCTAAAATTATTAAAAAATTTTCTTATTCAAAAATAATATTTCATTCACAAAAGAACAAAATATTTTAAAAATTTTAATAAAAATTAAAATAAAGAGGTCGTAACTTGACGGAAGTATCAAACCAATCATCCATGATAACATTTCACATACTTTTTATATTATCATCTGCTGATGATAATATAAAAGAAATGCTGATATATGATATGTTACCGACTGGAGGTAAAACAAAATAATTGAAATTTATGTTCATATAAATAACATAAAAAATACTATACCATAATTATCTAGAAAAAGAAATTTAAAAATATATATGAGAATAATAGAATTTTTTAATAAATAAAGGAAAGCAGAGTAAATTAGTTTCTCGATATTACGGCAGAGGACACTGTAGTCTTTCTGCAATCGAATATAGTAATATACGTTCACGAGAGGAATAATTAAGAATAATGTTATAGGTTTGTTCGCATTGATTGAAATTCCCAAAAATGTTTATACTTAAAACAAAATGAATATTTCATAATCGGACATTAAAAATAAAGAAAACGAAGGTTTTAAATGTAAAAAATGCAGGCAACACGAATAGATTCTCATTTTCCATTTAATTCTTGAATTTAGTTCCTTTATTTTTTATAGATTTGCCACCGATAGACAATTAAATACGTTAAGAATAAAGTTAAAAATAAAAAATAAAATGATTTTTATCAGGATGCTTCGTGCTAAAAGCCCTTATCATTTTCAAATTATTTCCTCATCCACTCCAAGCTCTAGCCCTCCCGACAACCCTCTTCAAAGGTAAAAGCGAGAGAGTCAGTTACGCGAAAAGCTTAATAATGCATCAATGCATGATCGAACAAAGTGGAGCCTGACACAAAATGCGGCGCATGACCACGCGGTGGCACTCCGATAACATGCTCGAATAATAAGGATAGCGCCCGGAGAGGATACAGGGTTGGATACGCACGCGTGAGCCCGCGTTCGGGGTCTGTCTTCCGTTTCCAGTCCGGTCACTATGACGCGCGATGTGGAACCGAGTCGAGAACATTGTAGAATATGTGGCGATTTTATTGCGTTCAAAATTTATTGTAGGTGCACCTGTAGCCCCGCAATTGCTAATTAAACTATTACAAATTTGGCTACTATACTTTTATATGAGATACGATATTTAACTTGCACCCTCATAAATTTTTTCACGACAGATTGAACTCATTAGCTACTATAATATCATGACCATATGATAATTAGAGAACGTCAGTATTTATTAAATAAATAACATCACACATGATTTTAATTTTCTTTTATTCCTATATATATTATTTCCCACTCACATGCAAGCTAACAATTAAACTTGTATAAGAACAGCATAGTTCAACACTCGTACATATTAAATTTCAACAAAAGTATAACTGTTAAATTTTTTCAGCTCGAGCAATTTCATTTTTATAGCTCCTCTCTCATTACTCTCGTGATGAATACATGATTATTTCTAAGAGAGAAAAATAAAACATACATGGTATTTAAATAAATTGATTTTAACTCGTAAATAATTGTCAGGTTTTTTACATAAGTCTTATATTTTCACTTAGTCAGTCTTATGAGTGCATAAATTATTACTGAATAAAAAAAAAATTCTTAACGGGTTAATTTTATATTAACTCACATCGTTCCGCATCCTGAACGCTCACTCTATTTACCGCGCGCACTTTCTTTCCGCGCCGCGTACTCCGTCGCGTCGCGCTACTTCTCGGACATGAGCCCCTTTCGCGAGAAGATTCGAATTCCTTCTTTCAGCGAAGCAATCGACGATCACGGGATATTTGAGATTTTTAATACGACCGCATTGTCTCCGCAACTTTCTCTCGTTGCGTATAAACTTGCACCGCCGGTGCCACGTGGTACCACAATAGCGCAAGCATTGTAATTGTATCTCTCATGGATCTTTACGCATTAAAAAACATTTTGTACTTTTATTAAACGGATTCTTGTCCGTTTAAAATTTTTGTATTGAATTTTTAACATATCCAAGTGTTAATTTAACATAATATTTGATTTTATGTTATTTAAATATTTTGTATTAAATTAATAACATTAACACTTCTTAGTGATGAAATGACACAATTTATGCATAGAAAAGATTGTTTTGCTAAAGTATCTAAAAATTTAGCATACAGATCTTAATTTTGTTGAATCATCAATAATTACGTATGAATCTCAAACATGATAAACAATGCTGTAAAAAGTTTTGATATTCTAGTAACTAGGTTAAGCATTTTATATACAGTTATTTTGATGATCCAACAAAGTTATTTTCAGATCTATTTCTAGTTAAATTTTTAAAGATTTCTACAAAATCGTGTGTAAGTATAAATCAAATAACCTTAAAAATAATATAGTTTTAAAACTTAAATTCTTAGCTAAATGAATAAAAGATGAATGTACATATTAATTTAACATATAAATATCTATTTTACTGAAGAAATATCCTTCTACAATTTGTTACATTTCTTGTGTTAATTTTCTCACATATTTAGGTTACTTTATATATATATATATATATATTCATCTTGTGTATTAAATGAATACAAAGTAATTAAACAAAAATTTATGGAATGTACTATTTGAGATATGTAAAATGTATTGAATTTAACATAAATTTTTCAACTGTATATGACAATAAAAAATTTATTCCTACACGGTTTAACACTTGTCTCGATATAAGTTTACTTTATGAGAAGTATTTTTACGAATTCTATATGTTTCTAAAGAGTCTGGCAATTCGTGAACGATCTTCCAATAATATATTGATAAGCAAAGGTTAAACACATTATTTATGAGTGACAGTAGTTTCTCTAAAGACAATCGATAGAGAACATTAAACAATAATAGCCAAACTGCCAGAGGAAGAGGACTCAAGTGGGTGGAATAGTTTGCCGAGTCGACCAACGAGAGCGCTGTGTCGGTTTGCGTGGAGATACGACCCTTCGAACTCGAAGGCGGCTCATTCGGTCGGTGTTTACTGCCACTGAATAGATCGCTTAGCGCGCTTCTACGTGGCTATGATAGTCAACTACTTCAGTGACAAGAACTCGTGGCTTTTTTCCAAACAAAGACGACCGAGGATCAAACGTCAAGTGATATCGACTCAGTAACAACCGGTGACAAAGTTCTCATTTATTAAAAAAAAATCATTTCAATTTATTAAATAAAAACGTTAAAAAAGAGTTTTATAAAAGATTCGTGTTCTTCCGTTAACATCGTTTTCGCCGCGAGCCGAGGCGATAGTTCTAGTGAAAGCTTGAGATCATTTCGATCGCCCCGCGGACTTTCGCGCTGTTAGGCGCGGTAATAAAATGCGAATCTCGGGCATGCTCGCGCCGCTTCAACGGATTTCCGAACGGGAGACTCGCGAGTGAAGGTTCCGTGATTACGAGTGATTTGCCCCGATCGATCGTCGATGGCGAAATCCGCGGCAGAGAATGGTGCGTTTATCTGCGAGCGCGATCTATGACTTGGCGAACGTATAGCGCGGGTGTGTGTTACGGATCTGTATTGCGAATTGTGTTTGATCTTCGACCGCGTGCACGTGTTCCTTCACGTGTTGCCGCTCCGATTATTTTCTGCGAAGGATACAAGTCAAAGGAATCCCTGCAGCTTTAAGTATCCTGCACGAAATTCTACCTACAGAATCCTTACATTCGAGTGTATAATCCCCACAAATATTCGACCTGCGTATTTTAAGATGCCCCGATTTATAAGCCATCGGATTATCAGTCTGTTCACGCGATAAATCCCCAAGCGTTCTCTAAATCCGTGAGTCTTTCGATTCGCACGATCCGCACATTGGAAGACAACCAACCCTTGGACGAATCTTTTTCCCGACAGTCGCTGAAGATGCCTTGATCGAGTCGATTGCGAGTTTTCTGGTCCCGCAAAGATGACGTCCGATCGCTCTATCTGTTTGCCAGTGTTCCTCTTCATTATCTGCATTTCTCGCACCTTTGTTTTGGGCGAACAACAATTTCTGGAGAAACCGCTACCCTACCAGGAAGTATCGTCCGGCGATGACGTGAAGCTACGTTGCATAGTACAGAACAAGGGTGGCCAGTGCATCTGGCAGAAGGACCGGAGACCGGTGGGCATACAACCAGACAAGTACGAGTGGGCGAACAGCCGCGGCAGCGGCGACTGCACCCTTGTGATAAGACGAGCCAATTTATATTTTGACGATGGCTTCTGGGAATGCCAAGTTACTTCCAGCGACTTTACCCGCCAAGACGCACTCTCATCCGAGCAGTCGAGATTGCTCGTAAAGGGTGAGATTTGATTCCGTCAACTTTCGGCGGGGCGTTATACTTTTAGATTTATCGCGTACATATTTTTCGTACAATAAGGAAAAAGTAAATATATTATTTTTTTTAATAATAAGTATGAGGAGTTTTTGATGCTACATTGAAAAAAATTTTCGAATCTTAATACATATTTCTTTGAATAATATTAAGTAAACATTTACTTATAGTAAATAAATATTTGCTCAATGAAAAATGATAGTTAAATCAAATTAATGGTTTTTGTATTAAATATATGTTTACATTTAATAAACACTTACTTAGAACTGTTTAAACGGATTTTATTAAAATTTATTATTTTTTAGTTATTCAAATATTGTATGATTATTTACATATAAAATAACTACTTATACAGTCTAGAGTTACATGGTATATTTAAAAGTAAATACAAAGACAACACAAATAAAATTATTATGAAAAGTTAGCACTTTCATTGCTTGCACATGCTAATATACTTTTATATTTTGATATCGTTTATGCAATATACAGTGAACCAAAACTGTATGTAAATACAATAAAATATTCATTGAATTATGAAAAAATAATGAAAATTATTCCAATAAATTCTCATAATGATTTAGATTATAAAACTATTCCTAGAATTCATTGCAAGAATGAATATATAGTTGTATAAATGAATCCAGTTTTATTGTATCAATGAATTAACTACATTAAGTCGGACATTGATTAACTGATCATTCATTGGACTAAAAATGAACAAAATTTTTTTTCAGTGTATTGACATGTTTAGTGCAAATTCAAATACAGCCTTGGCTATAAATATAAAACACCCTCAATTTATTATTAGTTGTTTGGAAAAACGGTAATAAAAGCAAAAAAAAAGGACTAATAAAATATTGAAATGATTATAAAAATAAATATTATTTTCCGATGAACTGCTTTTAATTTATTTTTCGTTAGATATAAAATGTTTATGTTAATTTGTAAGGATGCTTTATACTTATGGCCAAGGCTATATTTCGTTGAAGCGCGTTGAGTCGTTTGGAAGAATCGTTAATATTCCGCGAACATTGACCTCGAGTGATGCAAGGAAACACACAAAGCAGCCGTTATGCTCTACTTTCCTGTAATTTTGCAATATCCGTGTTAATGGAAATTTGGTCGAGAGTGGCACAATCGGTTCCTTTTAGCTATTCCCTGCTGTAAGAGCACATAATGATAAGATCACGGTCATAACTATTCGTAAAAGGAACCAAACATGACTATTTCTGTCTCACTCTATCTTATCTAAAATGCACCCTAATGCGTGTTCCAGTAAAACCTAAAGAACCTCAATTGGAATACGGGGGGGCCATTTTGGGCGCCACCCTAACGCTGCAGGAGGGGCAGGAAGTAATGATTTCCTGCGTTTCAAAATACGGAAACCCACCCGCCGTTATCAAGTGGTAAGCTTGACACTTTGTTGTTAAATGTTCGAACGATACGTATTGTGTCGCAGTAAAATTATGCTAATAACATGAAAACAAAATATACAGGAGAAAAAAGAATGATTTAAAAATTGAAAAAGAATTTAAAAACTGAAAAACAGTGGTATGTGCAGTGAACATTCTGTCGGAATTTCTGATAAAATTCGGTTTAACACCTAAAGCATTTATTTTATCTCTTTTTGAATTTACTTCGATAAAGGAACAATATGCGTGACAATTTCTCACTAAGAGGTGTTCTAATATGACGCCGATAAAAAGGAATGATAGAAAAAAAATGTAAAAGGTTTAGCATTTGTATCAGATAATTATGGATGGGTCCATTTGTCTCACAGACGACCTTTTACCTGAGACAGGGCGATTAGAAGTTAAACATTTTTTCTTTCGGGCACAATCGGATGACTATCGGAATGCTGACTATATCTGCTGATCTTGATGGGACGAAGTCTCGGTAATGTCTGTTAAAAGAATATCAAATAATTTATTTTTACGAATAAATTCTTGAAAGTAAACACAGAGAGAAAAAAGGGTAAAAAAAATATCCTTAAAATAAATATTTTCTTTAAATGAGGATCTTTCTGTATATTTTAAACCCATTCCCCTAAGGCTTACAATTCATTTTTCGGGATAGAAATATTTGAAAATTCTGGGAGTGATTGTACAAAATGTATTTATCTTTCCCAAGAATGATGCATCAATAAAAATTTTTTTTCATAAATCTTATTCTTGAAAATATATCAGGAGACACGTTAATGTCTCGACGCTAAGTCATATATGCGCATATATTATATATTATCTACCGGCGTCGAACATCAGGGCATCGGTCCTAGAGCAATTCTCGAATATTTACTGATACGATATAACAATATAGCTCTTTTGTGACTGAACCGATCGTTCGTAGGAGGTCCAAGATAACAGTTTCGAATTGCGTTTGACAATACGGCGACGCCTCGTCGGCAGGCTAAGTAGCGCGCTTTATGCACATTCCTAAGTTACGTGCCTGCACTTGTTTTCTTACCTCTCAGAAAATACGGCCGTTTTCAAACATCACGGTGGAACATCACGGTGGTTCGTACGCGGCCCGCTGATCCGAGAGCCGGTCTGGTGCAAGAAGCCGTGACGTTATGTTTATGCAGGGAAGGGCCACGCGGAGGGATCGTCGTTTTGGTTTACGGTCCGCTGAATTTAGCCGCGCCTTATCTTACGTTCTTATGCGATGTAAAACATCTGTTCCTCAGGATGGCACGCGCTTCTTTTGGAAACTTATGCCCCCGATCGTTCCCAGCGGGAGAGAGCGAGAGGCAAGAAAACCAGCGGGTGTAATTTAAGTCCTGAACGGTGGCATATGTAGCTCCTTCGTAAGGGGGACCCATTGATGAATGGGTCTTTTGAGAAAAGCTAAGTTTCCGATGCGAGGGCTTGGCCGTTACCCCGTTTCATTGTGTGTAACTTCTTGAAACACATGTAAATAACGTCTGAAAGCCGTTCTAATCTCTCATAAGCCTCTCCTTTGTCTCCTACGTCTCTTAAACTTTTGCGTCAGGTGGGTCCGATTGTAATTTAGCTTCTTTATTTTACTGCGTCGAAGTTACGGCCTCTTACTTTGGCGCATTTACGTGGAAGACACACGGCAACGATCGAATTGTACTTCGGGAGAGCAGCTCGTAACATTTACGTTCCCACGCATTTATTTTAGGGTCACGGTACTAATGAAGAATTTCGGTCCGGTGGGACTCGTCTGAAACAATATCAGCCGCGCATTCTTTTACGACCGATAATAGCCACGCGGTTTAATGATCCCTGCCCGGTTTTCTTTTTCTTCGCGTTGCGGACACGGCCATGCCGAGTATAATTATGTAGATTATAGCCATAGAAACCGAGAAACTGGCCGCAAGCGTAGCCCCGTCGGCCGCCACTGCCGCGCCTGTGAATCACACTAGAAAAAGGTACGGACCTTCTCGACAGCACTCTTTTTTTTTTACGGGAAGAAGGCCGGCCCATTTAACGGAAACTGATGGATTTATGTGAACCACTCGCGGAAACGATCCTGCATATGGAGCCATATTGTCCTGGGCTAATCATAAGCATCCAGCTTCCGTTTACGCGTCTTCATGACACATGTCGAATTTAATACGGAACGAAGAAAAAAAGTGGGGACCTCCAAATACATTGGCAAACATAGTTGAAAAAATATTTTTCAAATAAAAGTTTCTCAGTTTTAAAAGAAGGTACAACGTATATGTAATAGTCCTTTTAAATATTATCGAAATTATTTTTTTTAAAGACAATATTTTTTTCTAATCATTCCTGTATATTGAAGTGTCAAAATTATTTAAAATGTTTCGTACTTTATTCTGATATATTTTGACATAAAATACGAAATATTCATATTTTATGTCAAAACATTTGTTTATTAAGAAAATTGAGTTATACATATATAAAAAGAGATATGATTTTATTTAAAAAATATAAATTTCACTAAACGCTATAAAAAATTTATTTCCGACTCATTTTATGCTTAAAACTGATAAATTTAGGTATTGGACTTTTTTTGATTTTTTTTAACTTGGAATCAATTTTTCAAGCAAAAGTGGGAATTATTATTTGTGTCAAATTTCCGTTGTAAGAACTATAATTATCTTTAGAACTAATTTTTAAATTATAGTCTGCTGCTTAAAATTAAATGAGGTGTTAAGTTGTCTGGTACTTAACAATTTGCTCACAAATTTGCTCGGCAGGTTCATAGGGAACAAGGAGGAGAAATCTTACACGTCGCAAAGCAACGCAACGGAGGTGGATAATCCGAAAACCTGGGCAGCTCATAGTTTTCTACGGGTGCGTGGTCGAAGGGAGAATCACGGTCTGCCGATCCGATGTGTGGCCATGCATCCGACAAGCTTAACACCGATGAGCACAGAGACGCGACTGGATGTTCATTGTACGTGAAATCAATCTATATAGAGCTAATAAAACAACCAAAAATTATAAGTATTTATCAATATTCTCAAATATCAAACGGTAATCAAAGAAACTCGTTAAAAAATTATTAAACATAATATATTTCTTTTGGAATAAAAGTTAAAATTCATTTTGTCCTTGTAATTGTTCTTCTGTAACTTGAAAAATTTATCTTTGCACATCGTCTTAATTTAATATATTTTAAAAAAGTAGATGTTACGTGTATGTGTTAATAAGAAAGTTACTTTTTTAAAATAATTATTTATTATTATTATTATTATATATTATACTATTATTAAACTATATATGAGGAGCAGACTTTCAAAATGCGTTTTGTCCAAAATTTCATTTTTTTAGTTAGAGATGGCGTAGTGTTCAGTGTTGAAAAACTCATATTATAAGCTACTCTAAGATGTTCAGAAAGCATTTTTTCATCGTTAATTTATATGCTGAAAAAACATAGATATTTCGAAGTGCATTATGTTTTTTAACTAAAGACAGACAAAATGCATTTGTTTAACATTTTTAGTAATTTTTTAGCAATTTTGTTTAATATTTCACATCCTACTGATTGGCATGTTATTTTCTATAAGGTGCGTAATTTTCTTGTGTCCGTAGTTTCTTTCTTTCTCATTTTCTGAAAATCACAAATTTGGACAAAACGCATTTTGAAAATTTGCTCCTCATCTTTACATTATTTTTTAAAATGCTTTCTAAATAATTGTCACTACTGTGACGAATCTAAAATAACCTGAAGACAAGCGGTTCGTTTGTGCTCCTAAGCTGGACAAAGCAAAGTCAACACGTGCATAACAGCAGTGCTTTGCGGTTTCAGATTCGCCGGAAGTGCGACTCGAGATGGGTCCGCAGCCGCTTATGACCGCTCCGGAGGATTCGGTGAGTTTCTTGAACCTGAAGTGCCTGGCGGACGCTAATCCAGTCCCAAGCATCAAGTGGTTCAAAGACTCGGTGCCGCTCGACCGCTTGTTAATCGATGCCACATCTTCGCCGTCACCGTCGCTAACACAAGGCAAAACGACAGAGCTGAACGACACCGTGTGGAGTGCCAAATTGCACTTCGAGCCGGTCACGAGGAATGACGCCGGCCTGTACTCGTGCAAAGCGATGAACAATGTCGGTGAAAGCGCTCCCGCGAGTTACAGGCTCGATGTCCAATGTTCGTAGAATTACATTATGTACCTCGCTCCTTTTTTCCCTACTACCTTTCCCCTTCGTAATTATTTAAAAGCAATCTACGCATCGCTTAATGCTTTTCCTCAGAATGACAAGGTTGTTCTCTTCCTTTATAGAATTGCGTCATGTATAAAATTTTTTATGCGCAATAAAATTATGCATCGCGCTACTGTGAAAGTTGTAATTCTTAAATGCTTAACTCTTTTCTCCCGCGTAAAAAAAAAACGAAAGGAAGATTTGAAATATTTACAGGAAAGTTTCAACGTAGTTCACTTTGTAACGTTTTTCTTTATATAATATTGTTTTATTTATTTATTCGATATAAGAACGTTTATTCGATTTGACTGACAGATAAAAGATAAAAAACAGATTTGTCATATTTCTTAGATGGACCGAAGGAGAAGAGCAAAGACGGAAACGTCACGTCCATGAACGTGGAAGATATGGCGTTGTTGAGTTCCGCCGTGGCCCCCTTTGAATGCTCCGAGTTCGAAGCTAATCCGTCCCCTCAATACAGATGGGTGCATCTTCGCGGTAGCTTGGCAGAGCCGATCGAGAATCGCGTGCAGAACAAGGGCGGTGGGCGACGCCTCCACCTCGAGAACATCATGTGGTCCGACGAGGGAGAATACCGTTGCATTGCCTTCAACACAATCAACGGTGTTAAACGAGAGACCTCCAGTAACATACGCTACGTGCTGCACGTGACTGGACCGCCGGAGATTCAGGTCAAACCATTGCTAGGCGAGAACCTCTTCGAGTCCGTTGGATGGGCCGGAGAACCCGTGCACAGACTCAAGTTCCGATTTTGCTCGCGACCGCCACCGAAACTGGTCGCTTGGCAGTGGGGCAGTTCTCACCTTCGAGCCGGTATAGAAAAACGTCATTTTGATTATCGAACCACGGTCAGAACAGCCCAGTAAACGAGAATGGATTAAAATGGATTGAAATTTTGTCTATCCGAATGCGTATTTTAAATAGCGAAAACTTTTTTTTGGATTCAATTGGATTCAAATGGATTCAATTAGATTGGATTCAATTGGATCCAATTGGATTGAAAAACTGCATTTTATATTCAAATTTTTAAAATGAACAGTATTCACGATGCACAGAAAAAAGCTAATATTTTTAAATTGAAAGGCATAGGCATATGCTTCATGCAATTCCTATAAATGAATAAAAATGCATTCAAAATTGAAAAGCATTCATTTTAACATTCGTGAATCCGTATTCCTGAAAATCTGAAACCATTTCAATCCATTCTCGTTTACTGAGAGAGTCTCAGTTTAATTCTCATTTGAATAAAAGTCTTTTCAATTCCGCTAAACAACCAACTATTCACGAAAATACTGAATCAATACTAACAATTATGAAAATTATGCAGTTCTATTCATACTTTTAGAAAATAGAATTCCGATAATAATCAGGCTAGATAAATTTGAATCATACAGTTCAATTGCACGAGAATTCAATTTTGATGATCGAGTCGCTTATAAATCGTGTTTACGTTCTTATTTAATCTTTCAAATTTTCAACAGGAGAGAGTATTAATCCAAAGTACGATGCTCTACCGTTGGAACCCATCATCGAAAACAAAATGGTGACCAACTGTTACTGGGCCAAGCTGGAAATCAAGAATTTGCGAAAGGAGGATGCTCGGATGTACATTTTGTTAGTGGAGAGCGAGAAGGGTCGGGACTCAACGAACATCAAATTGATAGTGAGAGACCCCACGGAGATGCGCGTAATAGCCGCGGCCGTGGCGGTCGGCCTGTTGTTCCTGTTGCTGTTGATCTCCATCAGCGTATACTCGCTGCTGAGGATGCGACGTGGACGATACCGGCAGAAGGTGGAGGAAGAGGGCAGCATCGCGGCAGATGCACTTTATAGTAACGGTGCATCGATGGATCAACAAAAGTCCATCAATTCGTCCCACGCAAAGACCTTCGCGAGAAAGTCCAGCTTAGACGACAGCCAGGGCGTATATGATTACAGTCGCATCGCGAAACAGACGCGTGCCATGAGCCCAGAAGCGCTGAAGGTCAGAAGAGCACCGGCAGTCTTGCAACCGCCCACTATCGTGTGAAATATACGATCTCCATCTCTTTCATTGATACCGAGTCCCCTCTCCTCATCGTTCGAATCCTATTCTTTCTAACAATAAGATCTACTTTTTATTGTGCATTTAAATATCCCTTTCCCTCATCAATCTTCCATTTATTTCCTTCTTAGAACATTTTTGTCTTAGATATTTTTACTATTTACTATAGAGTATATGTGTAAAAAATCAGAGACACTTTTTAATTATTTTAATGACGTGATATATAATGTGTATATTTGTATCGAATGTTATAGTCTAATATTTATATCGAGAACACAAGTGTCCTCGCGAGATTATTGACTGTTGTTGCGTATCTTTGTAACGTTAAACAATTAATTTTTTTCTTAAATTTATTTATTATACCGTACATTGTTCATTGTATTTTACCACAGTAAGTAAGATTACAATAACAATTTGCCCATTCAAAATGCAGGCACGTCGTGATAAATATTGTATGAAGAACTCGCGTACCGGTGCAAAGTATAGTCTGCGTCATCGGAGCGGAACGAAGCGTAACTTTAATAGTGGTCGCATCTCAGCGATTTTAATAGCGGTTGCGCGACGAGGCGGGATCAGTGCAAAACTGGACCTCACGGAAACTGTTATGTACAGTTCCCGATTTTGATATTTCGACGAATATGTACTTTAATGTGGAAGACATTCTATGACTGAAACGAGCCTCTTGTTTCGAGAATAGTGTAAAATATTATTTTAACTCTTTATATGTGTTCAAAATAAATGACTCAAGTAGAGAATAAGCATTTTTTGCGGCAATCATTATTCATTATATAAAAATAAATTAGACAAAACGTATTATTAAAAAGTATTATACATATATATATGTATACACATATATATGTATACATATATGTGTATATATAAAATATAGAATATATAATAAAATAGTATTAGAGTAAATAGTAAAGAAACAATCTTTCTACTTATTGTTGCTGCATATCGCCTTCTTGTTGATCCTGTTTCATAACAGCTACATGCATGGCTTTCAAAAATTTGGATAGTACAGTTTTGTTCGTGGATGTGTAAAGGGCATGCGCCAAAAATGGTATTTTTCTTAAAGTACGGCCAGTTAAGCCTTCGCTCTCACGGCTAATTTCCAATAGTTTTAAACTATTTTTAGTGTCTGTATATTCTGCGTAACCAAGTACCTTTAACTGCGATATGTCGTGTATCTTTTCATTTTCCAAGATTCCAGTCTGGAACATGTATGAAATAGTATATATAGTAAAATATTAATTAAGGAATTTCCTTAATGCTTGAATAAACATAACAATATTTCTCATATAAAAAATTATTTATGAATAAAATGTGCTAAAATATGTATTATTAATTCTATCACTATAGTTAGTATTAATATATTATCGTATGTATTGTATTTCGCAGAATTAAGAACACATACTCTCATTAATTCCTTTAGGCATGAATGATAAATATTATAAATAGCGATTTCAGATGGATATCCGAGATACTGCTTTATGTCCGCTCGATCGATAAACGCAAGATCTATAGCTTCCGTCATATTGCTCGTCGTCAAAATTAAAACGTTTGGATATCGTTTGATTTGATCCAACTGTGTGAGCAATGCGTTCACAACGCGTATGGAGTCAGACGGTTCGGTTCCGTTGCTGCATAATTTACGTGCGTGCGCTAACGATTCTACCTCATCAATCAGAATACATATCAGTGCCTTTTCATCTTGGACCAAATTCTTTATTTCTTCAAACAATTTCATAACAAGTTTCCCACTCTGCAACAAAACACAAAGTAATATCAATTTTGATATTAAATGGTATAATATATATATAAATTTTGTTACTCCTCTAATTGTGAATATTGTTGTTATTAACCCTTTGTACACACCTTAGTTTTTGGCACCCTTATTACACACGTTCAGTTATTCGTGTCCAAGATTAATTTTCATCACTTTTACAAGTATATATAAATTATTAAACGATTTTTACATATATTTTGACATCTTTAAAAAGTATTTGTACAGATGTATATTCATAACAAATTGTAGATAAATTGTTATAACTAAATATAGTTAACAAAATGAGAAAAATGCACTGTTTCATATAAAAATGTAAAAACTCTGAAACAAAAACGTTTAAAAGAAAAATATAGTTCAATATCTTAAAATTGACATTCCAAACTACAAAAAAAATATAGTTCAAGTATCGACTGTCCATAAAATTTAGTTATTGAGTAACCTGAAAATGGTGTTTTTTTAATATGCATGAATGGCCATAAATTGAAGATATATTGCATTTACATTTTAAACAATGCATTTTATTATTGTTATTGTATTAAAAAAAACTTATAATTTATTAGGAAAATGTTCTTTGTAACATTACAGCTGACATAATATATAATATTACTAACATTTAGCACAAGGATGCCAAAAATCATGTTTATTAAGAGCTAATATGTTGTTCCAGAGTTAAATTTTTTTTTAATAATTCGCAAAATATTCCCACAATACAACCGAGAATTAGTTGAAAATAAAGGAAAAAATAAAAATTTTTTAGTTACAAAAAAATGTACACTCTACATTTTTGGGATCATTTGTTACCCAAAGAACTTCGGAGTTATGCCAGTTAAAAGACACGCACGAATTGAGGCGCCGGCAACATATAAAACTTGTTCTCTAGATGCCAAATTTTTTTTAGGAATAGAAAAGAGACCGTATTTGACTAGGTGCTCTTAACATTTTAAATAAAAGAAATGCACAGGACACGAATGACCTAAAGGTGTACATTAAGGGTTAATATATATAAACTGAATTCTCTTGAATTTATTCCTATCCTAAATTTTAATCCTACATTTTATTGTGTCTCTTCTAAAGCCAAAATAAATATGTAATAATTAAATACATACCTCTGAAAACCATTTTGAAAATAAGCTGTGGCTATTAATCTCTATAAATTTTCCATGAGTAAAGCGATCTCCCATGCGAATAACAGCTTTTTGAGCGAGAGCTTTGCACATACTGGTTTTGCCTGTACCTGGAGGACCATGTAACAATACTACTTTATTCCAGCTTATAATGTTAGAATTAATAGCGTGATCCGAAAATAACATTGTAGTCTCCACAAAACGTAATAACTAGAAAAAGTGGAAATAAAATAATAAAGAACCATGTAATACAAAATTGTATAAAATATACTACAAGTATCTGCAATGACATATACAAAAAAATCATTTTATATTTATAAATTATCTACTAAATTTACTAACATTATTCTTTATGTCACAATCGTAATACAAATTTTCCCACATGTAGTGAAATTCCTGTGCAGGTAAGAGCCAGTGAGATGCAACTGGCAATTCATCAGAATCACATTGCATTGTTTCTATGGCAGCATCTTCCTGTGTCAGTCTATAAATGTAATACTTAATGGTTGTTCCTTCAACTTTAACTTTTCCTCTCTAAAAAAAAATATAAGCCTATATATTTATAATGTAAATACAAAATCCCTCTATGATAAATTAATATGGAAATTGATAATACTTCCGTAAAGTTAGACGAACATATTATAGATTCGATATGATCTCTAACTATTATATTGTTAGAATAGTCTTTACCAGACATAATGACATCAAGAGAAATCTCATCCAACAATTGTAATTCTACATTTACTGCTTGTTCAATTACGGTTTTCGACAAAATACTGAAACAATAGGACAAAAGCAAATCAGTTTGTTTTTATTCACATATAATTAGAGCAAAATAGAAATCTCTGCAGATATAAATCTCTTGAAATTGATCTCAGATGCAATTGAGTGCAGATTTAAGTGCTACTGATTGTTTATAAATATTAAGTCAGTAAATTTGTTTAATTATTATATATTATTTAATATTATTTAATATTATATATTATTCCACTAAAATTATTTCGCTAGCTTGTAAGAAATCCATTTAGTCTTTATTTTAAAGCGCAACTTATATTTCTTTTAATGTTCCCATAGAAATTATTTGATAAATAAGCAATTTAATGAAGTTTATAACAATGTCATTTAATATTTATAAATTACATATCATTTTGCAGAAAAGAATTGAATAATCTTTCTAATCTCTTTTAAGGTTAACATAAATAATAGTAATAAGTTAGACAAATCTAACTGAAAATCAAACAACATATTCATGATCCTCATGACAGAATATCAACAATCTAAACAATGAAGTAAACAACCTGCTAGCATGTTGACACACTTCTACGTGTAACACGTTGTCCTCATCCATCCTTATAAATGTTTATATGAATTTGACAGCGTAGGACACTTTATAATTTATATGAAACAAGAATCAAAGCAAACATTGATATCACATGACACACGAGATTTCGATCATGTGCTTTTTTCTATTGAGAAACGCGTTCCGCTCTTTCAGCCCTTTGTGTCGACTTTGCTTTGTTCCGGCTCGTGACGGCTGCCAGATTGCTTGGATTCAAAATTCGAAGTCGTTGAACCATAAAGTGAAGAAACCTAGAGGTTTGTTCGCGTCGCAAGATCCAACATGCTCCAACATGCTCCTACCATAGCTCCTACTCACTCTATCAAGCGCATTGGAGTGAGTACAAGCTATAGTAGGAGTATTTTGGAACATGTTGGAGCATGCGACGCGACAAACCTTAAGCCCAGTGTCCACGATGCTAGAAA